TAATAATTCTTTGTATTTCTGTGGAGTCTGTTGTGATTTTTCCTTCCTGGTTTCTGATTCTGTTGATGTGTGTTGATTCTGTTTTTCTCTTAATAAGTTTGGCTAGAGTATGCCTCTCCTTAATTAGTACATTAAGTTACCAGAAAGTGTTTAAGAAACAATCAGGTCAAAACCAGTGAAAAAATATGATTGCATTACTCCATAATCCAGAGCTAACTTTCTTCTCAATCTCCTTTTTAAAAAAGGAAGCCCAGGAAATTCATTAAAATGAATAATTTTAATTGAATTTTCATTTAAATGAGAAACTCAGTAAAACAAGTTTAAAAGTAACTTACAGTACAAAATTCTTATTTATATTGCAAAATCCTCAAGGCTGATGCTTGTGTTCTATGCTTTTATGTTGTCTTATGCTCTAAAGAGTGAATTTTAAGTAAACTAAGAAAAATTTAAGTATCTCCTCTGCCTAGTCTCTGGCACTTGTAGTCCATATGAAAAATAGTCCTATATTTTTCTAAATAAAGGTAATGGCAAAATATAAAACTACTCTAGAAATTTTCTTCTATACAAACATTAAAAATTGCTTTAAATTTTAGTCTGTGCTAAAAATATCTCAAATTCATTTAGCTGAGGGTAAAAAAAAAGTGAAAGAGTACTTGTGCTAAACAGTAAAAATGTCATTAATAGAGTATATGTATCTGTCTATAATCTGTTATAAATAATTTGATTAGCCTAAAATTGTTAATTTTAAATAACTCAGAAGATGGCAGGTCCCAGAACCAGCTGGGTCAGGCTTGGGAGTGGGGGTAGAGAGGGACTTAGTTTCAAAATGTTCTAAGTTGCTTGTCAGAATTTTGTTAATAGCTTATTCTAACTTTGTGCTCAGATGATAAAAGTATTTATGCCATTTTAATGTTTTTTTCATTATGAATTTGCTCTTGATAATAACAAGAACCAAATTCAATTAAGATGAATTGTAATTTGGTGTTTAATTTAGCATCGCACCTGAAACCATCTGTAGATTGCACCGTAATTCATCAAAAGGAAAAGCAGAACTGCAAAGCCATTACTTACTCACACCTCCAAGAGGATAATGAAAATTCTGTTAACAATAATTATTCCCCATATTATTTTGAGTAATTTTTTCATTTTCAGTAGTATCTTTCTGGAGGCTTATAACAGATCAGCAATAGGCCACTCCTGCCAATTGCATTTGGAAACACATTTCCTTTCTCCTGCCATGAGATATTGCAACTTATTTCTAGTTCACAAAATTAGATTACAGACATTATTGTGACAATGTAAAACAATAGTTGAACAAAATAATTGAAGTAGACTTAAGAAAGGCATTCATGTTACTGTTCATTGCTGTCAGATATAAGGGTAACATTTAATCAGATATTAAGCCATGTGCAAATTATATGCAAGAAACTGCTGGAAATTTTAAGAAAATTTTGAAATTCATAAGAAGAGATCTCTTAGATGCCTTGCTTTCTTTTTAGCCAGTAAAATATGAAATACAGTAATTTCTCATTGGTATCACCTTTTTTTGGTTTTAGTTTTTTACAGGCTGGTGGATTATCATAGATGCAGCTGTTATTTATCCCACTATGGAAGAGTTCAACCACTCATACCACGCCTGTGGTGTCATAGCAACCATAGCCTTCCTAATGTAAGTGGCAGTGTAAGTGACACTACCTACCGAGTCACAAAATAAAAATGCTATATGTATAGTTGAGCAGAGTTAAATTTTCCATGTTATCAAATTAATGTATCGAACATGGTTTAAATGTCAAATTTTAGTAAAGGATTTATAAGGAAAAGCAGCAGGCCTCTCTTCCATTCCTCTTTCCACTTTTCCTCTCCCACTTCTACCTCCCAGCTTCTCTCAGCTCTCCTCCTACTTCTGTACTGCCAATGTTCAAACTTTACTTTGAAGTCAGAAACCATGTCCTTTCTCTAGGGGTAGTTCATTCAGTCATCCAACAAATGTTCATGAAACTTTTATATTCCCAGGTTCTGTTCTAGGTATAGGAAATAGAGTTGCGAATAAAACAGAAAGAAATGCATGCCCTTATGGAATTCAGAGTCACATGAGTGTGGGAGATGCTAACCAAAGAGAAGTAAAGTAAATATGTAGTGTGTTAGATAATGGTAAGTGCTACAGAGAAAAAGCAAAGGGAGATAGGAGATAACGGAGGCAGAGGGGGTGGATAGAGATTTAAAATAGTCAAGGAAGACCTCACTAAGAAGGTGATTTTTTAGTGAAGACTTAAAAAAATGAAGGAGCTGATTACAGGGATATGTAAGAGGATTGTTCCGGATCTCTGGAACAGCAAGTACTAAGGCTCTATGGCAAGGAGCCTAGCGTGGCTAGAGTAACGGATCAAGGTCATAAAAGGCAGAGAGACTGAGGAACTGTTGCAGACGGTTTAGCAGACTAAAGAATCGTAAGAGTACCTCACAATTCTGGACAGGATCCTTTTGCTATAAAGAGCATTACTGGAATAACTGGGGAACATGCATGAGGTCTGAAGATTAGCTGGTGGTAATAGATCATTGTTAATTTCCTGATTTTGGTGGTTGTATTGTAGTTTTGTAAAGTTGTCTTATTTGTAGGAAAACAAATTCCTGGGGCTATGGGGTTTTGTTTTGGTAACTTCCAAATGTTTCAGGAAAAAAAATTTATTTGAACTATACTTGAAATATTTCTGTAGGTTTGAGATTATATATAAAATTAGTAATGCCAGAGAACAGAGATTATTCATTTCAGAGTGTTCCTAATAGTTAGAGACTGACCAGGCAGCGTCGTGGCTGTCTGACAGAGGGCTGTGAAGTTTTTCCAGATGGGTCAGCAAGTAAAAGCCAAGACTGAAGAACCACTAACCTGAGAACATCTGCATTTTTAAAAAATGTGAAGCTTGTTTTAAAATATATTTATTTTATGTACCAAATGATTTAGTTCATATAAAGATCACTGGAAATAATTGAATATTTTGATCATTCTAAAATGTCATTATTGTAAAAAAATTAGGGTTCATGTAGTCAACACATTTATTGAGCATCTATTATGTGCCAAACCCCATGGTAGGGTTGAAATAAGAAACAAGATAGATACAGCTCCTTCCCTCACAAAGCTTCCGTTCAGTGGATATATATGTAATGTATATAATGTTTTGTAACTTGGTAACTTGATATATTGTGAACATTTTTCCATGAGGTTTGAATTTTTGAAAGGATACTTCTAAAGAAAGTAAGACCATCTTAGAGTGGTACTGTATGGAAGTCAGCAAAAGACTAATTGTGTTTGGAACATGTATTAGGGATTGAAAAAACAAGATTTTACCACCTGAATCTCTTTGATAACACTTTAGGACAAAGAAAGATTATTTTGCTTGAAATACAATTATTTCTTCAAACATCAGACAGTAATACAAAATTATTACAGAAAAATCATTCCAAAGCCAATTTTAAGTAATTTTTGGGTTGTCTAGGGCCCATTGTTTTCTCTGCCATTGCCATGTATGATTACATGTTAACTAGATAGGACCAAGCTAAAGATCCATTTTAGCCAGACAAAATGTTGAGAATTTTCCTCTCAAATTTTAACAAGCATCAGAATTACCTGAAGGAGTTGTTAAAATTCAGATTGCATGGCCCCATGCCTAGGGTTTCTACTTCAATAAGTTTGGGGTGGAGTCAAGGAATTTTCTTCCTAATGAGTTCCCAGGTAATGCCGCTTCTGCTGGTCCAGGGACAGTAACCCCTGCTTTAGAGGTTGTGTGGTTGAAGGAACTTGCTTAAGTTCACGTGAACCCATTACTCAAGACTCATGAAACCTAACCTTTAATTTGAGGCACTCTAGCTTATTGTATCTGGTAATTTGATGTCATGGGTAGTTTCCTCTTGGAGTTGGAGACCCTGATTTCTTGTTGTTTTTTATTCCTATAGGATTAATGCAGTATCCAATGGACAAGTCCGAGGTGATAGTTACAGTGAAGGGTGCCTGGGTCAAACAGGTAAATAAATAGGTGCAAACAATATCTTAAAATGAGAATTATACATGGAAGCGCCACTTGTCTAACTCCTTCAGATCAGGGATAACAAGTAGGCATATCTAGATCATAAGGTAAAAGTTGTATTTGTTTAAAGTTGGCTTTATAGTACAGAATATGCAGTTTTGAGTATATAACCCTATGCAATATATGTATACATAAACATATAAAGAACAGTATATAATAATATATGTGCAAAATTGAACTTATAGTACTCTAAGTTCTACCATATAAATTATTTTCTTCCCTTTTTTCCCAGCCTTATCTGATTGAATTAGCATTTTGAAATAGTTCAGAATCTTAAGTTCTTGTGTGTGTTAAACATAAAATTTACCATCTTAATAATTTTTTAGAGTGTATAGTTCGGTAATCATAAGTATATTCACATCATTGTGCATCTGACCTCCAGAACTCTCTTCATCTTGCAAGCCTGAGTAGAGTAGGAGATTTTAGTGCTAAGGTTCATGCAGGCCCTTCCTTCTTAACTGAGGAACTCGTGTCCCTTGGACTCCATGGCCAAGTACCTGAGGTAGGCAGAATATAGGATACATACAGCACAGCTCCTAGTCAGTTTACCCAAAGATGGGAGGGAACAGATAGTTATTAAGCAATTTAAGTGGTAAACTTAAAATATTATATCCATACACAAACCCAGATATAGGCAAATTTAAGTGACTTTTTTTTTTTTCTTTTTTAATGAAGCAGGAGACACTGCAGTAGTCAGCTTTGGTCTATACTTCCTGATTCTTCCTCGGTTCACTCTCTTCATAAATTAACTTTAGTAGAAGAAATACAGAAACACTGATCCCCCATAACCTTGTAAATCTAAACAAATAGATGACTGTTAGCTGTTCATGTTGATAATAATAAACCAGGAATCGAGTTAGGATTAGAATATGGCCATCTCAAAGTAAAATTTGTTAGCCCAGCTTTGGGGGCCCAGAGATGGTTGATTTTTCTTAATATACTATCTACGAGTAATAGCTTATTAGTTCACAACTATTGTTTTATGTTTTGGATATGAAATCAGAAGTTTATAGCATTCTACTTGCTCTGCTTTATTGAACACAGCAGTGTTTTTAATGTATTCGAGCTAATTAAATTCATCTCTGAATTTTAGGCAGTTTAATGACTATTTCATAGCAAATCTTCGTAAATATTACATAAATGTGATTTAAAATTTGATTGTCTTCCTCTGTTCACATAATTTTAATGCAGCTTTCCTAAGTGGCAGGCATGATAAATTTGAATTTGTTTTGCTGCCTGACTTCCCTGACAGTGAAATATGGTAGTGTTTGGATTCATTTATTACTGAGTATGGATTTTTTGTTAATGTACCAGTGTTGTTCTTTATAAATTCTCTTGGAGGACTTTGAATTTTGGAATATGATTTCTAAAACTATATGGAGATTGAACCTCTCAAGATGGTGAAACATATTTTGTGAGATTTTATAGAATGGTTGAGGAGAGTTCTCAGGATACATATTTAGGAAGAGTAAATATAGCTGCTTAGAATATCCAGACCAGCCAACAAGAAAAGGCCAATGTCTGCACTGATGAACGGTATTTAGTGTGTCTTAACAAGCACTTTTATTTTAGACTTTTAATGGTAACTACACATTTTTTTCTGTTTGGTTTTTGTTTTCTTTTTAAAAAGTTAACTGACTGCTGCCATATGTAAAACAATTCTGGTAAATGTTATTTCTTTTAAGGTGCTCGCATTTGGCTGTTAATTGGTTTCATGTTGGCCTTTGGATCTCTGATTGCATCGATGTGGATTCTCTTTGGAGGTTATGTTGCTAAAGGTAAGAGAAAACACAATTTACGTTTTACTTCAATGGAATACTGAAGAGTAAAACTTTTTTCATATAGATGGGCCAACTACTAGCAGTGCATTCATGCCTGGGAATTCATCTCACCATATCAGTATTTTGTTTTGTTTGGTATGTTTTCAGTATTTCTTTCTTCTGTGTTTTTTCTTCTCATCTGGAGCCTGGAAGTATTGGGACACAACTCCAAACCTTGCTTCTGTTTGGCTTCTAAAAAACCTCAAAGGCAGAATATTTATATACTCTAGCTGCCAAGTTTTGACTTCCTGAATAATACCTATGCAGAGCTTTAACATCCTAGAATTAAAATGTATTGAGCTAAGCCTCCCTGGTAATATGACATTATCTCTTAAATAGAAAAGTTAAATAATACTTAATGTGCATCCACTATGTAAGGCCAATTCAAGGCAAGCTCAGGAAAAGGCCTGCTCTTAGATCCCTAGCTGAAATTTCACATTGAGGGAGTCTAGAAAAATGTGAAAACCACTTGATATTTCAGGTAAAATTGAGTTTGCTTATCATCGTAAAAATACAGCATTAATGATCTGTACAGACTCGACCAGCAGAGATCTAATCTAGCTCATACATTAATCTTTTACTTCTTTGAATAAAATGTAATCCTTGGATTAAAATCATGGATATCCTGGATTTTTATTAAAATTATTTAAACCTTATGTAGACAGGAATGATAGGCATTTAAAAATATTTACATTTTTCTTCTGTCTATATAATTTATTATTAAAACCACATTACCAAAAATGTAGTAGAAAAGAAAGAAAAGGAAACTATAATAATCTTACCACTCATAAATATTCTATAAATATTTCCTTTGATCTCTTATTTATGTTTTTATGTTACAACCATAGTATAAATAAAATTTTGAATCCAGCTTTTTGCAATAACATGATGTCATAAGTAGGTCTCTTGCTGCCACAAAATCCGTATCACCATCATACTTTAAAACAAAATAGTTACTTTTTTTATCCCATGAATTATATAATACTTGCCCATTGTTGAATGCTGAGAATGTAAGAGAGCTCAAAGAAGAAAATAAAATTACTGATAATTCTACTTTCCCAGATACAACTATTAATACAGAGCATCTCGTCTCACTTAGAGTCAAAAATTCAAGGCCCTCACCATGACTGCAAGGGCTCTTTGTAGAACTGTGTTCATCTCATAGAATTTTAAATTATTTTCTTAAAGCTTCTGGAGCCAGGTTATGCTTTGAGAACTATTAACAGCAGATCTGTAATTTTATAAAGTTGCTTTTCTATAGAATCTTTATGAACCATTCTACTGTTAATAGTTACGACTGATGAGGAATATTAATGTGGAATATTTAAGGTGGCCTTGTAGTAGTAAGGACCTAAACAGCTGCTATGGTAATCAGATTAATTTAAAACTATTCTGAGAAAATGTTGACAATTCATCTATTCATCATGCCTGGGTCTGTCAGTCAGTGAATAATCATTGACAACTCCCATAGTAGAAATTTATGAGAATTTCAACCTCAGTCTGGGATAAAATGGCAGCAAAATGTTCCTCTGGCAGTTTTGCCTATCCTACCCTATCCTGCAGATATCTAGGCCAAAATCCTGGGTGGTTAAGGCCCGTCAGAGGTGTCCTCTCTTTTCGTCTCACACCCCACATCCAAACCATCAGTAAGAGTCCTGTTGGCATTGCTGTTAAAATATTACCAGAACCCCATCACTTCTTAGTGTCTCCATTGCTACCTCCCTGGTTCAGAACATTGAGGGAGTCTAGAAAAATGTGAAAACCACTTGATATTTCAGGTAAAATTGAGTTTGCTTATCATCGTAAAAATACAGCATTAATGATCTGTACAGACTCGACCAGCAGAGATCTAATCTAGCTCATACATTAATCTTTTACTTCTTTGAATAAAATGTAATCCTTGGATTAAAATCATGGATATCCTGGATTTTTATTAAAATTATTTAAACCTTATGTAGACAGGAATGATAGGCATTTAAAAATATTTACATTTTTCTTCTGTCTATATAATTTATTATTAAAACCACATTACCAAAAATGTAGTAGAAAAGAAAGAAAAGGAAACTATAATAATCTTACCACTCATAAATATTCTATAAATATTTCCTTTGATCTCTTATTTATGTTTTTATGTTACAACCATAGTATAAATAAAATTTTGAATCCAGCTTTTTGCAATAACATGATGTCATAAGTAGGTCTCTTGCTGCCACAAAATCCGTATCACCATCATACTTTAAAACAAAATAGTTACTTTTTTTATCCCATGAATTATATAATACTTGCCCATTGTTGAATGCTGAGAATGTAAGAGAGCTCAAAGAAGAAAATAAAATTACTGATAATTCTACTTTCCCAGATACAACTATTAATACAGAGCATCTCGTCTCACTTAGAGTCAAAAATTCAAGGCCCTCACCATGACTGCAAGGGCTCTTTGTAGAACTGTGTTCATCTCATAGAATTTTAAATTATTTTCTTAAAGCTTCTGGAGCCAGGTTATGCTTTGAGAACTATTAACAGCAGATCTGTAATTTTATAAAGTTGCTTTTCTATAGAATCTTTATGAACCATTCTACTGTTAATAGTTACGACTGATGAGGAATATTAATGTGGAATATTTAAGGTGGCCTTGTAGTAGTAAGGACCTAAACAGCTGCTATGGTAATCAGATTAATTTAAAACTATTCTGAGAAAATGTTGACAATTCATCTATTCATCATGCCTGGGTCTGTCAGTCAGTGAATAATCATTGACAACTCCCATAGTAGAAATTTATGAGAATTTCAACCTCAGTCTGGGATAAAATGGCAGCAAAATGTTCCTCTGGCAGTTTTGCCTATCCTACCCTATCCTGCAGATATCTAGGCCAAAATCCTGGGTGGTTAAGGCCCGTCAGAGGTGTCCTCTCTTTTCGTCTCACACCCCACATCCAAACCATCAGTAAGAGTCCTGTTGGCATTGCTGTTAAAATATTACCAGAACCCCATCACTTCTTAGTGTCTCCATTGCTACCTCCCTGGTTCAGTCCACTACAGTCTTTTGCTGATTTCCTCCTCACTAATTCCTTTTACTCCACTTACCTCCTTTGTCTGCTATCAGCACCACAGCCAGAGGAATCCTAATAAAATATGTCAGCTCATGTTACTTTTCTGCTCAAAATCCTCTGATGGCTTCTCATCTCAGGCAGAGTAAAAATCAAAGCCCTGGTGTTAAGTGCAAGGCGCCATCGGATCCTCACCCCCCAGCCTGCCCCCGTACTTCAGCTTTTCTCTCTTTTGCCTGTGTGGCCATTCCTCTCCTGTGGCAGCGTGCTCCCACCTCCGAGCTTTTCCCCTGGCTGTTCTGCTGCTCCTGCACGGCCCCTGCCCTCGCTTCCTGTCCTTAGGCCAGTTGTCACACAGAGCTCATGAGCTCTTACTGGCCACCTGTATAAAATGTCATCACATGTACATTCCCTATACCTTTCCTGCTTTATTTTTTCTCCTTTTTATTTTCTATGTTCAAGGCAAAAAAACTGGCCTATTTCATTTGCCACTGTGTCCTCAGCACATAAACAGTGCTGAACATAGTATGCACGCAGCAAACATTTGTTGAATGAAGGGAGTTCTCACTACTAAACCAATTCTAGACTCATAAATGTTATGTAATTTAATAGTTGAGCTGGTAATCAGAAAACAATCATTTTAGGCAGGAAAACTGGTACTCACCAGTGTATCAGAAACTAAATGTTTTGAAATCATAAACCTCTAAATATTAAAATTATTTTCACAGAAAAAGCCATAGTATACCCTGGAATCGCTGTGTTTTTCCAAAATGCCTTCATCTTTTTTGGGTAAGTTCGTTTTGCAACTTCATCCTATCTTTTTTTCCTTAAATAATATGTTCTTTATGTCATTTACTATGTTTAGTTGCTTAATTTACCCTGTCCAATACGCCTCCACCATGTTACTGTCATAAGATGCAAAGAATGAAATTGAGAGATATTTTTACTACATAAGTGGTTTGCTGCCAACCTCGGGAACATAGATTCGTTTCTTAAATTGCCACCCACCTCCCCTTTAATGAAGAACTATGATTTGTGTAGATTTAGTTACATAACACTGATGGTGTTTGTTTTTAATCTGTATCTCCAACAGTTGCTTTTAATGAAAGCCTGCTTAAAACCATTTCTCCTTAAACTTTTTTTTCTGGATGCATTTTATAGTTCTTTCTATCCTGGGTGTTATTAGAATTTGTGCATGAGATTGGAGGTGTGAAAAGAAAGCCCTAACTTCATTTTCTATCTTTCAGATGCAATGACAAATTAAATGATTACTAAAAACCTTCATACCTTTATCAAGAATCTTCTCTAATGTTCATTCTTTCCTGGACACTAAGGGTTTGCCCTTTCCCCTACCCTAGCCTCCCCCACAATCCCACCCGATTCCCTTCCTCCCAAGCTTCTTTCTATCTTGTGCATCAGGAGTTCTTAACCTCTGTTCCAGGGATAGGTTTCTGAAGATGGGGAGCCACTAGACATTTCCATATGCAGGAGACTGGTGTTTCTGCTTGTTTCTAGGAGGAGAGTCTGTGGCTTTCATCAGGTTTTCTAAGAAGTTCCTAATCCAAAAAGGGTTTAAAAACTGCTGTATATTCAGGACGGTCTGTTCTAGAACTTTCCTTTCTTTCTCCTTTACCACCTACAAAAAGAAGCCCCATATCTACTTGCCCACTCGTGAAATGCTAATAGTTGTCCTTCAGCAATAGTCAGCAGTTGGTATTCAAACTTACTCCATTCCACCACCAGGCATTTTTTGCAATTTTTAAAAATCAGTTTGGAAATAAGAAAGATGTGAACTTAGATGTGGCAAGATATGCAACTTCTTTGGGTCATACTTTGTGTCCTGAGCTAGTGGAGAAAACCCAGAGTTTCATGCAGAAAATAATAATGACCAAAGTTTATTGAGCAGTTACCGTGTACAAAGCTCCATTCTTAGTGCTTCACATGTATGCTCTCAGATAATACCCATAACAATTCTGAAGGTGGCCGCATTATTATCCCTGTTTTATTATGTGAGAAAACAGGCACAAAAAATATAACATGTTTGAGATCATGTGGCTAAAATTCAGGCCATCAGACCCAAGAGTTCAGGCTGTAGCTATATGATGGTGATGTTGGAAGTTAGAAGTGAATTCAGTTGACATCTCCTCTTGATGTCTTCAACCAGTAGTTTAGCATTAGTTCTATTCCCCGCCTCCCCATTTGTTTTTCAAAAATGTAACACTGTACTCGAAAGAAAAATACAAAGTAAGTAAACCTTACCTCCCCCAACTTACAAAATAAAATGTGAATAGGCTTGTTATTTTACAGGGTAATGTAGTGTGTGCTTATGAGAGGGACAGTGTTGATACTTAGGAGTTCTTCTTCCTTCAAGCTGCAGTGCTGAGGCTTGAGCACCTTTGCTGAAGGACCAGGGACCCGGAGCTCCCGCCTCCAGAGTCTGCAGGGTTACAGGTGCTCCAGGGAGTCAGTTCAGCCAAAGGCAGGCAGTATAAGGGTCAGAGGCAGGGGTGAGAAAAGCCTCAGATAGAGTGGTGGGGAGGGAATTACTGAGAACCAGCCAGGGAGGGGCAGACAGCACCCTTCTTTATTTTAATCATTTACTCTGGCAGATAAAGGATAAAGTAAGTTCACGTTGTGATGCTGCTTTTGGCAGAGAGGTTACTGTGGCACAGGGAGGAGGAACAGGATTGAGAGGGGAAGATTTGCAGGGAAATTCTATGTCTTCCCCTGAGGGAAGAAACACGTAAGTTCATACAGTCGTCACCACATTTCACTAAACCTTGAAAATGGAACATTGACTTGTCATTGCCTCAAATTAGTTAAAACAAATTACTTTTATATGAAACAAGTTTGATTAATTTCTCATTTGTTACTATTGTGCCTATTAAATACAAGAATAATTAAGTTTTATGAAAATACTATAAACAAATTGAAATTAAATTCAGCAAATAGACACCGTTATCAGAATAATTGTAGCAGATTGCTGGCTATTCTAATTTACAACAGAACAGTATTCTGCAGTAGCTTAGAAATTACTGTTTCAGAAAACAGAAGCAGATGTCAGTACCAAAGGTGACCATCTGACAGTGTAGGAGGGATTGGCTTTTGCCCAAGAAAATCTTCAAATTATAGTTTACATCTGTTGACTAGTATTCTGAAGTTCCCATGTCTCATTTAAGCTGCAGGAGAGGGGAGGCCCCTAGTAACCAACTTTGGTTTTTCTTTTTTGTAGCAGTAGGTCTGATATTAACTGGCAGAGTAGAGAGCAAATCAGTTTTGAGTTTATGAAATCCTTTGTAAAGAGAAATTAGTATATTTCCAAGAGAGGGTATAGACTACTTCCTGGTTGCATCTTTGTTTTCACCAGGTGTTTTTACCTTCATAAAGGTCTGTGAAACCTGTCTTAAATCAGTCGGCATGGCTGCAGGCTTAACCTTAATTGAAAAATAGGAGAAAACAAATGAAGCCAGCCTGTGCCACTGGAATACCTGCTTCCATCTTCAGTTTCTCCCTCACACTTACCTCTGTCCACCACCACTGAGCCCTGTTGAACCTGCTTCTGAATTGTCTGAAGCCTGTTCTCTTTCTATCATTTGCATGGTCTCAGCTCAGTCGTCAGCACCCTTTCCTGAGCAGTTTGCATCCCTAACTGGTTCCTCCCTTGGATCCAGTTTTCCTGCATCAGTTTTCCTTCTAAAATATGCCTCTAATCCTATCACTTCCCATCTTAAAAATTTTTCAAACCTGTCTACAGAAGAAATCAAACCACTGGCCATCCAAAATCTGTCCACAGTTGTTTTATTTATCCTGTATAGTCATTTTTGTTTTCTTGAGCCAACATCCAAAAAGCAAAAGATTTTACATAAAAATCTGACTTTGTGGCTTTTTTTTTGAAAAAACTGGAGGATCTGACAACCCTGCACCCCCCACACCAACAATCAGCTGGAGCTGAATAGTTGATCTTTTTAAATAGGGGCTGCGTCTCTGCATGACCCCATTTCATCCATTGCCTGAGACTGAGTGCCAGACGCCCCCTTCAGTAAAGCGTACAGGCTGGCATCTGTACTCATTTAAGGCACCTAAGGCCCTTGTGGGCCATTTATCACACTGGTCAACTGGTGTGCCAAATCCTGGCCCCCTCCATTCCCTGTCTGCCTTATATCTCAAAGTAATCTAGCTGTGTCGAACTCTTCCCTGTTCTACTCCCTCTCAGATATCTTTATATCAATGTAGATATAGATACAGATATATGGATATCTTCTTACACATATAATTGCCCTCTTGCCCTCTTAAGGTGAAGCCTTGAGGATAACTGTGTACAGTTAAAATCCTAGGCTGTGAGCGCTGTGAGGGCAGATGCCTGACACCAATCTCCTGGGCGTTCCCGGAGGCCCTGTGGTCTTTATTCCTCTTTGCCTTCCTCTCCTTGAAACATATTCTTCATCATCCCCCTAGCTCCTGGCCTGCCAACCTCCCACCCAAACTCTTCATTACCCTACAAAGTCCATCCCAAGTCACAAAGTGACTACCTTTATAACTCTTTTACTAACACATTCAAGCAGAATAAATTCTGTTTTTATGCTCCCTTAACATTTGGCATATATACTTTTCCACCACCACCTCCCCACCCTGCCAGTACCACATTATGTCGCCAAGGATGTGAGCAACTCGAGGGCAGAGACTGTATCTTAAATTGTCTTTATAACCCTAGCATCAAACACCTATCACACTGACACTCAGAAAAGGTTTGTTGAATGAATTTGATAAAATCTGACAAAATGGCTACATACTCAACCAAAAATTAGGAGAAGTGCAAGTTGTAGTGCTCCAAAATCTTACAACTACAGACTAACTACTGTTAAAAGAACATATGGGATGTGAACAGTTCCCAGGAATGGGTTGTTTTAATTTGATTTCTCTCAGACTGTTCAAGTACAGTTGGACAATATCCATCATATCAGATAAATTTTCACAAATGCCTAGGATGCCTAACTGGTTTTCTTGGTTTCACTGGAGATGGCTGGTAATTATAGATCTGCTTTGGTTATGTAACTGTATTCCTATTATGTTAATGTGTGTCCGCAATTTAATTAGTAGTTTAAAACCTATACATGCTTAAGTTACTCTACAAGAAGATATGTCAAAGAAATAATCAATCTTCCCATGTTTTCTTCTGC